GCCTCACAATGGGGATGAATTTTGGTGGGCAGCCAAAATGGCTGAGGGTTCACCAGAGGGTTTCCCTGTTGACTGAGTCAAAGGCCTTGGTTAGGTCGATGAAAGCCATGTACAGGTCACGATGCTGTTCTCTGCACTTCTCCTGTATCTGGTGGACAGCAACGATTATTTTTGTGATGCCAGGTGATTGTCAAGAGCCACATTGAGATTATGGGAGGAAGTTTTCCGCCTCAGGAAGAAGTCTGTTTAGGAGGACTTGGGCGATAATCTTGTCAGCTATGGACAGCAGCGAGATCCCGCAGTAGTTGCAACATCCTGACTGGTCTCCCTTGTTCTTATAAATCTTGATGATGGAGGAGTCTTTAAGAGATTTATAATTTCCTCCTTTTCCAATACTGTATATTCTCCAGGAGAGAGTGGAGACGGCTGGTAAGCAGAAGTGCTTTATACACCTCGGCTGGGATTCTATCAGGCCCTGAGGATTTGTTATTTTTTATCTGTTTGATAGAAGTAGCTACCTCATCCAGGAATGGAGGATAGCTGAGGTGAGTCTGCTCTGGATGCTGAGGGACCTGCTGGGTAGTCAGGACATCCACATAGGTGTTTCGGTTGAGCAGTGAATGGTAGTGCTCTTTCCAGCGCTGAAGGAGGCCTTCGTAGTCTTTAATTATGTGGTGGCCGTCAGATGAGCGGAGGGGGGCTGTGCCACGAGTAATTGGGCCGCAAAATGTTTTAGTGGAATTTAAAAATTCACTCATCTTCTGCTGATCTACAAATTTTTGTGTTTCACATGCTTTATTTTTAAACCAGTTGTTCTTTAGATTGTGAAGTTCGCATTGGGCCGCTGCTTTCTTCTTGCGGAAGATATTAACTTTGTTCCGAGACTGAGGGTTGTTCTGCCAGTCAGTTAAAGCAGCATGTTTATCATCGATGAGTACATTAATTGCCGGGTCATATCATCAAACCAGTCCTGGTGTATTCTTTCGATCTGGCCAAGGGTCACTCTGCAGGTTTTTGTCATGAGTGTCGAGAATAACCCATTCGGCACTGGGATTTGGGTTATTTGTTGCCGTGATGTTTATGAGCCCGTGTTCAAGCTGCTCTCTGAAAGCATGTGCTACCACTGGATCCTCCAGATTCTTTAGTGTTAAAACCTCTTCTGGAGGCTTGCTGCCTTCGCCGTTTTGGGGTGACGTGAAGTGAAAGCTTGTCTCTGACGAGCTGATGATCGGTGTCCCAGTGGTCTGAGCCACACATGGCACGGGTGATGGGGACATCTCGACAATCTCTTTCGCTGACAATGATGTAGTCAATGAGATGCCAGAGTTTGAATCGTGGGTGTTGCCACGAACCCTTGAACCTGTCGGCCTGCCTAAACAAGGTGTTGGTGATAGTGAGATTGTGTGCAGCATTCTTGCTGAGGAGAAGTAGGCCATTGCTAAATGTCAGCATCTCTGGCATTGAAGTCACCAAGGAGCACAACCTTATCTTCTCTGGGGATAGAGATAGTAGGCAGCTACCAAACAGGGAGGTACTACCGCCTGGGAAGATATTGGAAGCATAATGTGTTGTCTAATGGTAGACCCTGCTGCCATATGGCATCACGAAAATTGTGACCAAGTCGCAGGTTGCTGATCTGTCTTTCTGACTCATTTACACACAATTGCAGGGTCACAATTGTCTCTCTTACTACTGACAACACAACATATATAACCGTACTCACTCTTGATCTGTAGGTTCCTTCCTAATTAAAGTTTTAAGGGTTCTTTTTGACAGACCCAAATTGTATTCAACAGTGTCTTTGTTAGACGCGAGTTTGACGAGGGCATCAACGTTGTCATGTTTTATGAGGCCTATGTAAGAGGGGATCCACAACAGTTTGACCTTGACACCCCGGTCAACAAGGTATGCATATTTGTGTCTGGCTTTAGAGACAAGTGCGTGACAACTTGAGTTGAGGGTGTCAAGGGCAAGTAGTGAGGATAGAGAGTCAGTGATGATGAGACTGTCAGTGACAGTGGTTTCAATGAATTTAATAGCTGTGAGTATGGCAACTAATTCAGTTTGTAGAGTGGATGCTCAGTTGTTAATTCTAACTCCTTTCTCAATTATATTACTGTCAGGTTGAGTCACAACAAGAGCACTTCCAGCTATTGATGAATTTGATGCAAGTAGACAAGTGCAAACAGGCACTAGTTGATCCATAGTTTGCCATGATGAGATGTAACTGCTAGATTAAGGTTAGGATATAAGTACCTCTGGCAGTATGTTCCTCAAGCAGATGTAAACAAGACTGAATGTAAAGTGTGTGGCCATACATATGGCCACACACTTGAACACTACGTCCTCGACTGTGTGCAGATAGAACCTTTTAGGGACAGGTCTAAGCACACTGTGTGTGAAATGGCACAACACTTCATCACTAATGGCAAGATAGCCGACATATTAAGATTGTATCCACTTTTTTGCACTTAGTAACTATATCAGTTCTCATGTAGAGAACTAAATACACAATGTGCTTGAATACTTATCACGCAAATGTGAATAACAAAGTGTGTGGCCAGCCATACTGCCTCACACGCCTGTACTCACGCAGTTGTGAATAAGTTACCCTTTATGTATAGAACTAAACAAATAATGTAATTGAAGTACTGTGTGACATTCAGTGCCATGTATTCTGACCACAGGGGTTAATTATTATGACCTTTTGTAAACTCTACTCTGTAATCGTTTTGCGCTACCACTCACAGGATGAGTGTGGGGTGCACAATAAACTAGCCACTGTATGCGGCAAAATAAAAAATCAATCTTGATTTGTTCTATTCTTTCTACTCCTTTATTCTCATGTGTTATCAGTTGATAATGTAGATCAATATGGTATTTTTCTTTTCTGTTTTAAATTTCTTTTTAACTCGTTATGTTTTCCCCCCTAGGCCCCTTTGTAGGTCGATGACCTGTGCCTAGGTGGTGATTCCCTGTAAAAAAAAAAATAAAAAAATAAAATGTCGAGGTCTACGTAAAAGGCCTCCTTTATGTCATCCTCCTCATCCAGTGTTGGGGCATATGCAATGATTAAAAAAGCATGACGTGAGTAATTCAGTGGGATTCTGAGCGTCATGAGGCGCTCGTTGATCCTAATAGGCATTTCAGTTAGCCTGTGTAGGATGCATTGGCAGATGGCAAAGCCAACTCCATAAATATGGTTTCTTTCCGCAGCAGGCTTACCCTTCCAGAAGGAGGTATAGCCAGACCCCCATTCTGTGACTTGACCCTCATCTGGGAGCCAGGACTCACTAAGGGTGGTTCTCCTTTCAGGACGCTCACTTGTGCCAATAATCAGAAGGGTCCTAACATTCTATGCAGCGATCATTAGAGGTTGTATAGTTTGTTTTTGGTTGGATCTGTGATTTTGATTGTGTTTTCGACCACATAAGGATGACCTTACTGGGCGCAGTTGCCCAGTCAGGTTGGTTTTGTTTAGGCAGGCTATGTTTAGGGTGCCTTTTCTGGCTCCCTCCCCATGTGGGGTGAGCAGAGTGGCTCCTCAAAAGGGCTGCTCAGTCACACAGACAGGACCGTATTGCACTGCTGCCTAGATACAAGTGCATAAACGACCATCTTATCTGTGTCGCCCATGTGCACAAGTAGCGACTAACATCATCATGATCTAGAATCATTAATTATCTTGCAATAAACATTCAGAAAGATAACAATACATATCTAATGAGGAAATCACATATGTATTCCAATACAGTATCTCACAAACTTTTCACGAGATATTTACACGTATGTACTTTAATTAATTTTCATTGAGTTGCAACACTAAGACTTACAAATCATTTCAAAATGATCATCAATCGTTTATCATCTTCATACAATACTTAGATTACTTAACAATCACCATTAACATGGATATTCAAAGACTTCTCTAAACTTTTACATATTTTTGCTGGGGTCAGCATTTTACATCCCATTCTCTAAATCTGCACTCTCTTACATAATTCTATGTCTCATAATAGCATATATTTTGGAACAATAAAAGATTCAGTTTTGACATTAAATTAAGTAAAATCAATTCAATTTTTCTACTCTAACTCCATCTTAAATAGAGGGATACCTATAACTGATATTGTAAAGTAAATATTTCCTGACATTCAAAGAAAAATGGGTAGGTTCTACTTTACACTTTTTAGAACATGTCAATAATGTGATTGCTTTATCCTCGTAAGTGACATGTAATGTAACCATAACTAAATCTCGTAACAAGAATATTAAGTACTGTACAGTATAGTCTGGTTTTACGCGGTTAATTAAACCCCTGAAGGTCCGCGTATAAAGCGAAACCCGTAAAAAAAAAAATAACAGAACCTATGGGATTAATTGAAATAGAGACTGGGCAGACCACCAGACTACCCTTTTTTTCGCCATCGCCGACACAATACGTACATTGTAGTAAAAATAACTTCTTAATTTTATGATGGTTTGCACTCAAAATTAATATACAGTATAAGAGAAATATCAATAATAGTAGGTTTTTTAACACGTTAGTAGAAGAGATGGCTGGGCACATGGGGATGAGGGGTTGGTTCTGAGGCAGAGGGCAGATTATTGGCCCTCACCTGTATCTCTATCCACCACAGAGGCTAGCAGGGCCTCCTCGTCAAACCCCTCGAAGTCCACAACCTCACTATCACTGACTTGGGCTGGCTGTGGTGGTTGGCGGGTGAAGAACTCAGTGATGTTTTGTTGACGGCTAGCATTGATGTGGTCATGATACAGCTTAACATAGGGCTCCTGGCATTTCAACAGATGGTTATTCGACACTTACTAGCGATGATTGACTGGGTCTTTTGCAAGGATGAGCTTCATTCTCTACGCTAACTCGATGATTTCCTTCACATCACCATGTGTTAGTTTCTGCTCTTGTTCTTCTGTAACACCTGGCTGCTCACTGACGTCATCATCTTCCAACATCTCGTCCGCAGTCACCTCAGGTTGCCTGATTACCTCCAGGATGTCCTCGTTGGTGGTGTCGGAGAAGCCTGCAGCTCTAACACTTAGTGCAGCCTCTCATGCATTCTCCAATGCCACAGCAACAGACTGAGCCTCGCCAGCCACCGCTTGCCTCTGCCTCCCACCTGGGATACCCTTCAACATATGCTGCCACGCGTGCCGAATCATTGCCACAGATAGCTGCCCCCTTGCCTCCACCAAGAAATCAATAGTCTTCTTCACGTTAAACAGCTTCCAGAACTGCTTGACCCGAACGTCATGGTCCGCCAAATCTTGTTCATGTTCCTCGTCCTTGCTCTCGCTATCGGTGCCACTCTCTAGGTTCTGCAGTTCATCCTTGGTGTTGGTGTTAGCGGGAACGAAGATCACTTTTACGTTTGGGTGACGATCCAGCAATTGGGGTGAGTGTCCTGGTGCGTTGTCGAGGAGCAACAAAATGTTGAATGGCACATTATTTTCCACGCAGAATTTCTTGATATTGGGAAAGAGACAGTTGTCAAACCAGGAGAGGGACAGACCAGAGAACATCCACGCCTTCCCTGAGGTTAGCCAGTAGACATTTAACTTGCTCATGTCTATATTCTTGTAGGCATGCAGCTTGCGGGCTTTGTGGATCACAGACAACTTCAGCTTAGCGGTGCCAGAGGCATTGGTGGTGAACAGTATGGTGATGCGCTCCTGAATTTTGTGTCCCCGACACTTGCTAACAGACTTGACTACAAAGGTCTTGGATGGCAACTTCTTCCAGTACAACCCTGATTCATCCATATTGAACACTTGGTCGTCGGTGTACTGTCCTTCCTCCTTAATTTCCCGTAAAAATGGGGGAAAATTCATGGCGGCAGCCTGGTCGGCACTTGCTCCTTCTCCGACTATCTCAATATTTGTGATCTTGTTGCGTCGTTTGAAATGTTGCAGCCACCCAGCGGAAGCACTGAAGGGCTTGGTCTCTGCAACCCCCATTTTTCTTGCTACTGCTGCATAGAGTTCCCAGGCGTAGTCCTGCAGTGCCCGAGTGTCGACCGCCATGTTCCTTCTCGACTGACGAATATGTAGCTTACCGACAAACTCTTACTCTTCAGCAGCACCTTATTGTGGCAATATTTCACCAGCGAGGCACCTACAGACTTGGTAATGTTCATGTGTTCATTGATTTTGCCGGCATCCTTCTTGGTAGTGTGGATCGTCGATTCATTCACTCCATATTGTCTGGCCAGATCCACCTGTCTCGAGCCATTTTCTAACTCCTTGACGATCTTGTACTTTACCTCATAGCTTAAGACGCGTCGCACCTTCTTGGGCTTGGGCCAGGTAGTTCAGGGCTTCTCGGGGGTGGTGGGGGTCCAGCGGAAGCCATTGTGTAGAAAGAAAAAACAAAACCGGTTCCTGGGCACGAGTGAATATACGCGGGGACAGTGAGACTGGCGCGGCGGTGGTGGAGAGCGTGGGTGGCAGGGGTGGCAAGGATAACTAGACCAATCACAGTGCCCGGTGGAGGGGGTGCGTGGGTGGTAAGGATACGTGGCCCAATCACAGTCCACGATGTCAGCGATGACGTCAGCTCCCAGCACATTGCCCTGCTGCTCGCCGCGTATATGATGGCATTTACCGTGTAAATAATAATTATCGCTTCTGGGCAGGTGCCGCGTAAATAATAATTATCGCTTCTGGGTAGGTGCAGCGTAAATGGCCGTCCGCGTATAAAATATCCACGTAAACCTAGACTATACTGTACTATAATATGTTGATTGATAACTATTTCTTTTGAATGGCTTCATTACTAAATTATGCAATACTGAACAAAAAAAATTATTTTTGTCGAGTAAGTCAAATAATAATTTTGCTACAGGATCCAAAATGGAGTTACATGGCTAAGCTTGCGACAGATGAGGAACGGTATCAACACACCCGCAAGCTGTGGAAAAGTATTGTCGTGCCAGACCCCAATGTAAATAATACTTACAGTGGTTACTCGAGGCGGTGGGGAATTCAAAGAAATTACTCAGAAGGTAAGGTAATGTGCATAGTTCAACATTATGAATTTGTTTTATATGTGGGATATAATTATACACCTGGAGTTGCAGTTAGAGTAGAACTTTTAATTTTATCTTAATTCTCTTTCCATCCTGTACACATTGTTCATGCATATACCTATTATGGAATAGGATGACCAGTGCAGAATGTATATATCTTCATGTGTGCAGTGGCTCATATATAATCCCCTTCCAATCCAAGAGTGTTTGGATTTCCACTAATTAACTCATTACAGTTTAAATATATAAGGACAGTACCAATCTTTGGTGTAAAAAAGTATAATGACAACCTCTTGAGTAGGTATGGTATAGTACATAGGGTGTATATATATATATATATATATATATATATATATATATATATATATATATATATATATATATATATATATATATATATATATATATATATATATATATATATATATATATATATATATATACATATATATACACAATCAACACCTCAACCCGCAAGGATTCGAACCCATGGCCCACGAGCACATGACTGTGACCGGGGTACGCTAACCGCTGGACCACCAGGATACTAAAAGCAGTCCTAGACTCTGTTATATTTCACACAAAGCCTGTTCAAGGAGCTTATGGTGTTCCCCGGTCACAGTCATGTGCTCGTAGGCCGTGGGTTCGAATCCTGGCGGTGGTAAACAATTTGCCTTCGGCACTCGTGTTTCAGGCACGGCGAGCCTCAGTTTATAGGACGTAGAGCGTTTTTACTGAAGGTTTTGTTGTTCCATTACCCTCAAAAACGTGGGTTGAACTATAAACGAGGAATATCATAAATTAACGATTTCTTGGTCAAAAAATCAGGGTCGACCTATAAACGAGGGGCGTTATAGACGAGTAAATATATATATTTCATGTAGATCCACAATGAAAATGTGGATAAGATAAATCTTGATAAAATCACTCGGGGGGGGGGTGGAAAAGGGAAACAACGGAGCACCTCTGAAGATGTCTTGAATAAAGACGAAAGCTAAGGTACTCCGTTGTTTCCATTTTCCCGTGTGATTTTATCAAGATATATATATATATATATATATATATATATATATATATATATATATATATATATATATATATATATATATATATATATATATATATATATATATATATATATATATATATATATATAAATGTATATATATATATATATATATATATATATATATATATATATATATATATATATATATATATATATATATATATATATGTATTTACACACACAGTAGTACCCCGATTTACACGGTCAATTTAACCCAACCACGGAAAGTGAAAACCGCGTAAAGTGAACAACAGAACATATGGCATTAATTCCAATAGAGTCTGGCCCGACCCCCAAACTCCACTTTTTCCGACACAATACCTATGTTGTAGTAAAAATAACATTTAAATTTTATGATGGTATGCTCACACAATTAATATTTAAGAGAAATACAGTCGCCAAGTTAATGTCCATTCAAATAATGGACTCAAATCCCCCACCCCCCTCTTCCCAGCTCACTAGCTCCTACCTCTCTGAGAAATGATTGGGTGAAAACACTAGATTTTAACGTTTAGTAATGAATAATACCTCAGACTAAAGTTAGGATAATATAATTGACATTTCTGGATTCCTTGCAGGTCAGGGAATATTTTGAATGTAAACTTCATATATTTTGCACAAAAGATAAAATATTTGCTTTGTGTAAACCAAATTATTACATTAGATCTAAAATTTGTATGTCTAATGCAAAATCCATGATGTTTATATTCAAAATGATCATCATATTGTAAGAATTCCAGCAATGTAAATTATATTCTGGTCGAGTAATTTGTATGAATTTTATGAGCTAAAACAAATATCTTCAGTAATAAAAAAAAAAAAATATTCTTCACGACACTATCTGTCAATCAAAGTACCCCACCTTGCCTCCCCCCCTCTTCACACTCACGCCAGCTGGGTCGGTCGGTCCCAACCCTCCCCCCCACCCCCCACCTTCCCTCCCTACCAGAGAAATGTTTGGGTGAAAAACTAGATTTTAACTTTTAGTAATAAATAATACCTCAGACTAAAGTTAGGATAATATAATTGACATTTCTGGATTCCTTGCAGGTCAGGGAATATTTTGAATGTAAACTTCATATATTTTGCACAAAAGATAACATATTTGCTTTGTGTAAACCAAATTATTACATTAGATCTAAAATTTGTATGTCTAATGCAAAATCTATGATGTTTATATTCAAAATGATCATCAAATTGTAAGAATTCCAGCAATGTAAATTATATTCTGGCCCGGTAATTTGTATGAATTTTATGAGCTAAAACAAATATCTTCAATAAATAAACAAAATATACTTACCGAAATACTATCTGTCAATCAAAATACCCCACCTCCCCCCCTCTTCCCACCTGCTCCCTGGGTCCCTCCCTCCCTCCCTACCCCTCACCCCCACCTTCCCTCCCTACCAGAGAAATGATTGGGTTATAACAGTATATTTACATTTTTAGTAATAAATAATACCTCAGACTAAAGTTAGGATAATATAATTGACATTGCTGGATTCCTTGCAAGACCAGGAATATTTTGAATATACACTTCATATATTTTGCACAAAAGATAACATATTTGCTCTGAGTAAACAAAATACTTGCATTAGATCTAAAATTTGTATGTAATGCAAAATCTATGATGCTTATATTCAAAATGATCATCAAATTGTAAGAATTCCAGCAATGTAAATTATATTCTGGCCGGATAATTTGTATGAATTTTATGAGCTAAATAAAAAAATTATGCTTCACCCGCGTATATGAGTAGATGCACCGCGTAAAGTGGGAATTCCGGTTCTGGCAGGGTACCGCGTAAATGTAGAAACGCGTAAAGTGAAACCGCGTAAAGCGAGGGTTCACTGTACTTAGAATTGTTGTTTAGCAGATTCCCCCTTATAACATATTAACAGTTAAATAACTCTTGGGCCATGCTACCAACTTTCCTCACCTAGCAATTCTACTACAATAAATTCTTCCTGTATCTTTGCTTTTATTGACATTGTTCATTCCCTTTGCTTGTAATGTGTTAGCTAGAATTCCTCAAACACGGAAATCGTTCCCAAACCCGGATTTTTCCAGATAATTCCGGCTTTGGGAACTATTTTCTGAGGGGCACATTTTCCGGAAAATTCTGAGAAAATTTTCCCGATACCCAGAAAATTCCGGAGATGGGGGAGCTTTTTATTCAGGGTTAGAGAGTTGAAAATCAGGCACATTTTCTGGAAATTCCAAGAAAATTTTTCTGGTACTCGGAAAATTCCAGAGATGGGGGATAATTTTTCCGGGTTCAAGAGATTATGTAATGGGCAATTTCTGGAACTTATGAGAAGAATTTTCCGTTACCTGGAAAATTCCAGGCATAAGGGATTTTGTTCTGACTTTGAGAAAGTTGTCTCGTTACTCAGAAATCTCTCATTCCCAGAAGTGCTCTGCACCAATTGTTCCGGCTAACAGAGATACAGTACTGTATCACTTTATTCACATGGAGGGGATGTCCTCCCCTTTGTGGAGGAAGCCGGTCTTCTACACAAGCTTTAAGTTTTATATATTAATATTTAAAGTTTTTAAATGAAAGTTTTATATTATTTGTTACTTATATTTTTAGCCTTGCATTACAATGTTTATTTTAGTCTTTTAAGCCTTTATTTTAATTTGGTGACATATGACCTAAGCTGTTCTCCCCCATTGCTTGTATCCACACTGTTCTCTCTCAGGCTGTGCAGATTATATGGACCATTTAATTGTCCTGTGCAAGCGACTTTTGAACTTTATTTGCCTAAATTTCTTTTATACTTGCCCTGATGAATTTTTGGAGGAAATTTGTTAGCCTTGATTTTTGTATGGGAAAAGCTAATTAAATATTAAACATCCAAATTTATTGTGTGTATCAACTCACTGATTACTTGTGTCTGTCATAATGGTGTCAGTGGCGGTAACCTTTGTCATGTGAGGTCATAACTCCTGTCATCTCATGTCTACACCTCTCGGCTTGGTGGCTCCTTTGAAATGTTGACAAGTTGAAACCTACTGTCTGGTTGGCAGCTTAATGTAGAGATAAATTACCTGACACCTGACATAGTTCCTTACTCCCTGGTTAAACTTTTGCATTGAGGTGGGGTCATGCAACACCTGATAAATTCTATTCTTGTCTATGCATAGTACTGTATTTTCCTTCCTGTCAAAATATTTCCTTGTCTGCCAGGCACATGGACATAAAAAATCACTTGCCTGGCCCTTAGTCCAGGCACTGCTAATCTGCACAGCCTGTTCTCTTTCTTTGCTTGTATTTACAATTAAATGCTCAAATACATTCTTTATAGTTATGTTTAAACTATTCCCTTCATCAACATAGACACCTCAAGTACCACAAGGGTCAAAGTATCCAAGAAGCGAAAGCATGAACTGGAGGAAGACAACCCAGAACAGCCACCTAAGAAACGAGCACGTGGCATTTTAGACATTCGCTTTAGTGTCCAACGTTTCAATGAGAGTATGAGCCTGGTAACTCTGAGCTACATGGAGGAACAGAATCTGCAACATCGCAGTAGTTTTCAGTCCTTGAAGTTGGAGAAGACATACAACGAGAAGATCCACCAGCTTATCATGGCTCGTGTAGAGGTTTGTCCACAAACATCGTAAATTCCTGAAAATTTTGGGGGATATGTTCTTGATATGTGAATATATAAATAAATGATCAATATAACTTACAGGAAAATATTGGTTAGGTTCTGGGCTGGGCAGTTGATCCCTTGTGAATGGGAGGAGGAGGATCTCTGTGCTAAATACAATTTTCTGGGTTAGCCAAATGAATAATTAAAAGTGGTTTTCCCATTAGCGAAAGGGTTAAGGAAAACTAGTCAATATTAAAGCCTTATTATGACAGACCTGGATTAACTCTGCATTTCAAAACTTCCATGCCAGAAGAGGCAACATACATCAGTCTTATCTCTGAGCTCGGAACTTAGTGAATGAGAACAGTCCGTGCTGATCAGTGCTTACCGCATATCTCGGCCTATAAGACGGAATTTGAACCATAAAAAAAATAAGCCCAAAGTTAGGGGGTCGTCTTAAGCGCCAGATATAAAATTCTTACCTCTTAAATATTGCGGTTTAGCGTGTCAAGAGTGGTGATTTTAACATCGTAAACCACTCACAAGGTCCTACCACTAATTATTTTATACTGAAACTTACGTTTGGGAAGCTGGATTAAAATGAAGATTACCGGTATATTAAAATAATAAAAATGTATTATAAACCTGTCTAACATACCGTAAAAGAACAATATACCCCGGTAATAAACACAGCTGCTATCATCACCCCCCCCCCCATTTGCCAGTGACAAGAAAGCGAAAGTGACCTTGACTGTGACCACCTGTGGCTATTTTTTGCCGTCCTTGTGTTCGGAGGTGGTCAGTAATGCATATCTGTATATTTACTGATCATAATACTTATCTCCTATAAATAATTCATTTAAAATTTATTTTTTTACAAAGAATATTTAGTAAATGACTGCGTTAATTCTTGAAACTACCAACAGTGGTAAATTTAGGATATACAGTAAATGATGAACAGAAGTCACGTCATGGATTCGGAGTTTGGTCCTTAATGATCACCATAAATGTCTGGTCAACTTACCTACCAGGTATAATGGTAGCCTCCCTTTTTCGCAAAACAAGTATATAAATTAAAGAAAATACTTGCAGTGTGTTTAATATTTTAAAGTATATTATAAATAAATAAATAAACAAATAAATCGACAAATCTATTTCAAGTAAATGGAAATATTTTACTCACACCAACATTAGTTCCAGTTAAATAACTGACGCTTAAGTGAGTCACTAGTGTACACCAGCTGGTAAAATTTGATGACAATACTTTAAGTGAATTGGCCTTATTTTAAATAACCAACCATAAATAAATGCAAAAAGGAAAAAAGATCAAAGGTGAGAAACATTATATTGTATGTATGTTGTGTTGTCAAAGGAAGAGAAACAATTCAAACTCTGCAATTGTGTGTAAATGAGGCAGAAAGATAGATCAGCAACCTAAGACTTGGTCACAATTTTCGTGATGCCATATGGAAGTTGGATCTACCATTAGACAATACTGTACATTATGCTTCCAATATCTTCCCAGGTGGTAGATATCTCCCTGTTTGGTAGCTGCCTAAAATTTTTAGTAATATTACTTTGATACAACATGATAAATTAGACAAACAATGAAAATAAACAAACAAAAGTTATTTACCAAGACCTCTCTGAGAACAGAGATGGAGGGGAGATAAGATGGCTATTTGTAGCCCGTCTTTGTGTAGGAAGTCGACCACACTATAAATAATTCATTTAAAATTTATAATTTTTACATAGAATATTCAGTACATGACTGCGATTCTAAAATATTGTGAATATATATATATATATATATATATATATATATATATATATATATATATATATATATATATATATATATATATATATATATATATATATATATATATATATATATATATATATATATACTTCATTTTTAGTCCATATAACACGCGGACTTTGAACATATAATCAACGACCTCACCAGCAAGGAATCGAACCCTCGACCTACTGGGTGTGACTAGGGAACGCTTACCGGCTAGGCCACAAGGACACTAAAAGCAGTTCTAGACTCTGTTATATTTCACACAAAGCCTGTTCAACGAGCTGATGGCGCCGTGCCTAGCCGGTAAGCGTTCCCTAGTCACACCCAGTAGGTCGAGGGTTCAATTCCTTGCTGGTGAGGTCGTTGATTATATATATATATGTATATATGCAAGTAAATCACTGTAGGTGCGCGTGATCTAGGTGGTTATCAGCATATATATATATATATATATATATATATATATATATATATATATATATATATATATATATATATATATATATATATATATATATATATATATATATATATATATATATATACACACACAGTTAACCCTCACTTTACGCGGTCCCACATTCCGCGTTTCCACGTTTACGCGGTGCCTTGCCAGAACCTAATGTGCTCACATTACGCGGTACGTGAACCCCATTATGCAGAGAGTGTCCGGCGCGACGCTATTTTTAGATTCGCCCCACCCACCACCCGCCCGCCTGCCTGCATGTGCTCCTTGCCTCTCCCTCCTCCTCCCTCCGCTTGGGCAAGCCGCGCGGTAAGGTTGCGCAGTGTGTGTCTTTTTTGCGTTATCACTGACATCATATGACGTATCCGACTGTGATTGGCCATGCATCCCTACCCCCCTCTGCTGCTAGCTGTAATTGGCTTAAAGTATTATGACGTGTCCACCTGGGGGAGGGGGGGAGGGAGGGAGGGAGGAAAGACGACGCTTGACCTAGCCGCGGCAGTTTCATCCCTCCACGCCAGACCGTGTAAACGTGTATCCATTGTTCTGTAAAATGGCTTCCGCCGGACCACCGCCCCCAGAGAGAAACCTTTCCTTACCTGGACCCAGCGGCACTAAGCCAAAGAAGACACGACGTTCCTTAAGCTACGAGGTGAAGTACAAGATCATCCAAGAGTTGGAGAAAGGAACAAAGCAGGTTGATTTGGCGCGCCAGCATGGTGTGAATGAATCTACGATTCGAACAATAAAGAAGGATGCAGCCAAGATAAAGGAGCACATGAAGATCACAAAGTCTACAGGTGCTTCTATGATCAAGTATTTTCACAACCAGGTGCTTCTCAAGACAGAAAAATTACTTGTGAGGTACTTGGTGCGTCAGGCGCGACGGAACATGGCGGTCGACACGCGCTCTGTTAAGGAGTACGCACGTGAACTGTACATTGCAGTGGCACGAAAGATGGGAATTACAGAGCCCAAACCCTTTAATGCTTCCTCTGGGTGGTTACAGAGGTTTAAGATCCGGAACAAGATCACCAATATAAACATTGGTGGTGAAGAAGCGAGTGCTGACCGTGCTGCGGCTAGGGAATTTCCTCCGTTTTTACGTGAGATTATGGAGGAAGGACAGTACAGTGACGACCAGGTGTTTAACATGGACGAATCTGGTTTTTTCTGGAAAAAGCTACCTTCCAAGTCCTTCGTTGTAAAGAATGCCAGCAAGATTCAGGGCCGGAAGATGCAGAAGGAACGCATCACCGTCCTGTTTACCACCAATGCCTCCGGTACCAGTAAGCTCAAGTTATCGGTGATCCACACAGCACGCAAGCCGCACGCCTACAAAACCATGGACATGACCAAGCTAAATGTCCACTGGCTGACCGCACGTAAGGCGTGGATGTTCTCTACACTGTCCCTCTCCTGGTTTGATGACTGTTTTGTTCCCGATGTAAAGAAATTCTGTGAGCGACAGAATGTGCCATTCAAGATTTTGTTGCTGCTGGACAACGCACCAGGACACTCGCCCCTACTGTTAGATCGTCACCCCAACGTAAAAGTGGTCTTCCTTCCTCCCAACACTACGTCTATATTACAGCCCATGGACCAAGAGTTAATCTGTAATGTAAAAGCTGCATTCTCAACAAAAAAATTCAAACTCCTGAACGACTACACCAACACCAGGGAAGAGTTGCGTAACCTGAGTGACACCACCACCGATAGCAAGAGCGAAGAAGATGAGGATCAACAGTTGGCACAGCAAAAAATACTGTTCAAACAATTCTGGAGAGTATTTAACATCAAGAAAGCTGTGGACTTCTTGGTGGAGTCATGGGATCAGCTGTCTATTGCTACAATTCGTCACGCATGGAGACATGTGTTGCATGGAATACCAGGTGAGAGGAGGAGTCAATCTGTGACTGGTGAGGTACAGAATGTTGCAGTAGCAGTGGACCTTGCCAGAGAAGCTGCGCAGACTGTTACAGTTCCAGGCTTCTCCGAGACCACCAACGACGACATCCTGGAGGTGATAATGGAACCTGATGTGACTAACGAGGAGATGGTAGCTGATGATGATGACGACGTCAGTGAAGAGGCAGGTGGTGCGTCATCCCAAGAAGAACAACACTTATCCCATAGTAATGTTAGGGGTGCCATCGAGTGTATCGAGAAAGCCAAGCTCCTCCTTTCCGACGACCCTGACGCAAACAGGTATGAAATCTTCACTACCCAGCTGTTGCAGACTATGGAGCCCTACATCAAGGTGTATCACGACAACATCAACACCAGCCGTCAGCAAAGCATAACAGATTTCTTCGCCCGCAACCCACCACAGCCAGCCCAAGCCAGTGATAGTGACAGTGAAGATGACTTTGAGGGATTTGTCAGGGAAGCCCTGACAACTGTAAGTGACAGTGATGGTGATGCACCTAGTAATGGTGATTCACCTGAGGGCCAGTAACCTGCCCTCTGCCTCGGAACCAGCCTCCATCCCCGTACGCCGACCCATCTCTTCTACTAACGTAAGTGTTTCACCTAACTTTTAGTTTTCCTAACCTAACTTTTATTTTTCCTATGTTAACCTTTATTTTTCCTAACCTAACCTCTTCTATATTACTTGTTTTTTCATACCATCATAAAGTTAAGATAAAATTTTTACTACAACATAGTTGTGTGTCGTCAAAAAGTGGAGTTTGGGGGTCGGCCCGGACTCTATTTCAATTAATCCCAAATGTTA